AAAAAAAAAAAAAAAAAAAAAAAAAAAAAAAAAAAAAAAAAAAAAAAAAAAAAAAAAAAAAAAAAAAAAAACTAATAGACTAAAAGTTTGCTTTATTATTTTACTGTAATTATCATTATCAAAGAAAATGGAAATATAAAATTTTTATTTGATATATACTGTAAAACAAATCCAATATCGATTTAAATTATATACTGTATACCAGTTCAGTATTTTGCTTGTATTTTTTAATGGAAAAAAAAAAAAAAACGACGAAATTTTTTTTCTTACCAAAACATGGGTTAGATGACATCGATAACTATGCGTAATTGGTTTACAAAGTAAGTATCTAAATTAAAGAAAGAAAAGGAAAGAAAAGAAATATCAAGATTTCATTCAAATAATGTTGTTTAAATGAAATGAATTCATGTAAACATACTGTAATGATAAAGTTTTGTTTTCCCTGATTGAAAACGTGATCTACTTTATGCCGTAAGAGAGAATTTTCATAGTATGCAAGATTATTTGAGATATCAGGCATAAATTAAAATATCAGGAATATGGGGCATGAAAGAAAGAAACAGGGTACAAATGGCATGTTTAGAAATAAATTTCTGTATGTTTCAGGGATAAGCTGGTTAATCTTGTCATTCTTTTAATTCTAAACATGAAAGTTGCCACACTTTTCAGTAACACTTGCTACATATAGAATCTACGGAGTTTGCGGGGCAAAAAAAAAAAACAGAATTGAGTTTTGGTTAATAAATACTTTGTGTACATGCATAAGTATTAGAAAAGCCTGCACCATATGGCGAGGCACTTTGACTTTGATGTCCAAAATTGGAAAATGTTTGTTTACTCATACCTCGTCCATTTCTAGATGATCTTTTTCATAACACCCCAAAATAAGTGGGGCTTGTTTTCCTAAAACGTGATATGAACTTCTTTAATGGACAAATAAATATGAGAACAATGCACATGTCATTCATTATGTAAAGTGCGGAATATTACGAGACCCCGACAGACATACTCAGGTGACCAACCACCATTGGTAACTTTTGGAGCAGTAGGTTTCTGTTCATATCCAGATGGGAGAATTTATTCCACACATAATCACGATGGCATTATAAGCGTGACATGGATGGTCATTTAAATATTGGTTTATGTAGAAGCGTGTTGAAGTTGAACGCACAAAATTACACTTCACTGTGAGTATTTATTCTACTAGGGCATTCTCATTGGTCTGTCGGTTTAATGAAAGAATTTTACGACTCATTAATTTGCAGTGGACTTTCTCTTCCGTTTAAATGCAAGAATTATAATACCTTTTGTATTCCCGTGCTTATCGGGCATTGATATTTACGTTTAATTATAAGAACCACATTCATTTACACCTGTCCAAAAACTTGTGCGCCTGTTCTAAGATTTCTTTAGAATAAAATTAAAAAAAAACAAAAAAAAAATGTTACTTCGATCCTACTATTTTTCAAAAGAATTGTATTAACCAATACTCATTTACTTTGAAATCCAACTATCACATTCTCACTCATTCAATTTTGCTTAAATAAAACTTTACTGTTCGCCTCAAAACTTATTAAACCATTTCCGAACATCTTTCACTTAAATCAGCAATCACCGCTGTAGGCAAGGTCAAGGTACAGCACTATTAAACTTTCGTGTTTCACTTAAAGGTTTTCGATCCGTCTAAACTTAATACTTTCAAACATCATCTATTTACATAAGGTTGTAAGCCGAATGAAATTACCTTCCTAATAATATGACGTCACTCAAATCAGGTCCTAGAAAAAACACCACCTGTGCATGTATCGGATACCGGACTTCGCATAAAAAGTGTGACCATACCAATAACCATCTCGAGTGCAAGAGATGTCAGGTTAGAGGAGATAAATGTACATTCCCTTTGGAACCTCAAAGGCGTGGTCGAAAACCTATACATTTTTATGAAAAGCCTACCGGAATTTCAAGACTTGATTATCTCGTGCGCGAATTTGCAAGGCAAGCCTCAATTGTTTGACAATCTGGAATATGTATAGCACACGTACTGTACACATACATAAACTAACCCTTCATCGTATAATCAAGATTTTCGTGAGACCGTTAAAGTATTAACCTTCTGGTGTCTTCTTTCCTTGTTTTTAAAAAATTTTTTTTTTTTTTTTTTTTTTGTGATTTAGTATACTGCAATCTACAGTATACGCATATTGGTAATAAGCTGACAAATAAACGATTGGAAATTCATAATTATTGCTTTATATCACTTTTAATAATAAATACAATATATTTTATTCCGACCACATTATTAACCCACGTAAGTCATGTCTAAGGTTATACCGCTAACCACTCCTTTAATGTTCTCTTATAAATAAAATGCGAATAACAATTTTAACTATATTAAGAGAGATAGCGGATAATTCTTTTGTTACGTATCAAGTCCACAATGTATATTAAATTAGCTCCGATGTATCTTGTCATACCAAACTGCGGTGCACGCATTGTGCGTCTACGTAATTACTGAATCCGAGTAAACAACCACTAAAACAATGAACCCCATAATAAATAAAATACCTGCCTAGAACAAAGTAATTTTAAAATGGAAAATTTGATTTTTATATTATACAGTACCTTGCCATACTATAAATCCACACACAGATAGATAATTCATTTAAATAATTTATCGTAAAATTTCAATAAATTCTCATCGAATTGTTTAGGGGACACATATTTAATCGTAGCCAAAGAATATGTGTTGGCGATAAATCAAAATAACAATTATACCAATAAAATTTTATAAAGATCGTTCAAAAGGATTTAATTACGAAAATGGTGTCAAACACGTGGAATAATTTTTAGCCAAAGGTTTTGAAAAGTGGTCCCACCAAGATAGTATGTATATTGTATATTCGAAAATCCGGAAAGCCTTCTCCGACATCAGTGTTTTCCAATAGTTTCAGCCACACCAGCCATTGCCAAATTTTTATGCACATTATTTGTTTATTTTCGTGGATTCCATAATCATTACCATTCTTGAATAGCCAACCAAATTCTTTTACTAGAACAAATAGTATGATAAAGAACTTATCTTTCGGATCGCGGAGTTCTCATTAGTAAAGCAATCTCGGGAATTGCCACACAACTGAGCTCTTTGGTAAGCGAGGAAATTAACCGTTCGCAAGACGACTCTTTGATTAATTATGCAAGCAATTATTGACTTATCTAACATCTTTAGACAAGATCTGCTAAACACTAAAACTCATTTGTGCTTATTCAAATAAATTCAATCCTAGGTCGCAAAGCTGTTGCTTGAACGTGGACTTTGATTCCGTGCGAGATCATGTTAAATCTGGGCAGGATACTCGGATCATTTAAATGACGTTACCGTAGTCCAATACCAAGTAAACTTGCACCGTATATACTGCATATATATACGTATATGCTGTATGTGTGGTATATACTCAATTATATATGATTTACTTGCGTCATTTTGATTCGACTGCACGCATGTACGGTGTGATGTACCTAATCCAAATCCGCGAGTCCCTCAAATCATTTAAAGGAGTAAACAACTTCGGTGCAATAACTCTGTCTTCAGATATATAAACCTCTTCTGTTGTCTCTCTTCACCGCATCTTGATAATCTAATGATTTTTCACGTTTAAAAGAGATTTCCCACATAATATACTTCGTCCCTTTACGTTTAACCACTTCAGTAAAACTTAATATTCCAAAAACTCGCCTGAAATCAAGGCTGGTCTTTGATATTGCCTGATTTTTGGCCCGGATAAAAGGCATTGTGTCTGTGGAACTTATCTTACCGTTTCAAAAAAAATTGACAAGATATTTTAAATAACATAACAATATGCAATCGAATCCTCAAAAACGTACGACACGGCCCTCATCCACAAAACACCGGACGAATGCGACCCAGGCATGCGATGAATGCAGAAGCTCGCGCAAAAAATGTTCCCGCAATGGATTATCTAAATGTGAGAGATGTGAAAAGGGAAACCATAATTGCATCTTTTCCTTAACTAGGAAACGCGGTCCTAAATCTCAAAAAAAATCTAATGATAACGTGCCCACCACCAAAACCACTTTCTGTATGTCTAACGGCCATTTTCATAATATGTCCAACACTCCTTTTTACGATAAGCCCACCACCGAAACTCCATTTTATGTGGTGCCCACGGGAATTCCAGATCTCGATGATCGTGAGCGCGAATTTATAGCAGACAGTATCGTTAATCAAGAAGCCCATACGCATATACAGTATATCCAATATTCCGTTAATCCACTGCCACATACTATATGTTAATTTCAAAGACCAAATAATATAAATTACCTTTCACCCATTTTTTTTTCTTTTTTTGTTTAATTTTACTCTGACACACCCTTGCCTTGTTCGCAAAAACATACATTTTCGCTTTTTTTTTTTTTTTTTTTTTTTTTTTTCGTTAAATTTTATTTCGACATATTTAATTTCATCCTTGTTCGCAAAGGCATACATTTTCGTTTTTTTTTTTTTTCGTTTGATTTTATTTCGACACATTTAATTTCACCCTTGTTCGCAAAGACATACATTTTCGCTTTTTTTTTTTTTTTTTTTTTTGTTTGATTTTACTTCAATATTTAATTTCCCTCTCATTGGCAATGGTATGCGTTTTCGCTTTTTTTTTTTTTTTTTTTTTTTTTTTTTTTTTTTTTTTTTTTTTTTTTTTTTTTTTTTTTTTTTTTTTTTTTTTT